AACGATTCATTTTTCCAAACCCCTCCTTTGCGTGACGCTAATCTGTGGTGATTGGTCCGATTGGTCTCATTTTCATTTCATCATGAGCCTGTAATGCCTGATAAAGCAGTGTTTGTGAGCGCAGTGCTGCTTTGTGTACAGCGTTACCGGGGAAATCGCTATTTTTACCGCTCCAAAAGCAGCACCTAGTGGCAAAGAATGAATTTGCATTTTCATTCACACCAACGGGAAAAGACCAAGAAGTGGGCGGGCAATATGCTAATGTTTCATGTTAAGGTCAACATGAAATGGCTTGGGATTCGTTTTAAAAACGACTCGTTTCAGTGATTCAGAGTCGATTCTTTCTTTTGAGAGACAATAACTTTATACAAGGTGCACTTTCAGATTTAAAACTTTGCAGGATGTTTTCATTCACTTAGAGCTGTGTTACACACTGCATGAAAATGTAATTTTCAAAAAATCCATAATAGGGGCACTTTAAACTTCAATGATTATTCATCTTAGCAGTTGTGTGAATCACTCCAGAGAAGAATACTATACTGCGTATATGTTTCAAACCCAGTTCTGACACCGGACACTGAACTTTAGCAGGGAGAGGAGGACACCTGGTCGTAGTCAGGGCACTTGAGCAGGGCAGGGTAGCTGGCATTCATCTGGAGCGAGGTGTCGCTGGAGATGTCTGATGGGCTGCGTCCTCGCGTCCAGGCGTCGGGGTGAAGGAACTGACCCGAGTAATCAGAGCAGTTGCTCAAGCGCGGCCGGTAGAAGCTGGGGTGAGGCTGGTAGATTTCCTCCGCTGTGTAACGCTTCATGAACAGGTAGACGGACATCACACCTGCACTCTGAACAGAGAGAAGAAAACATTTCCTGAAGGAAATACCAGGCAACAACAGACAAGATCTAAAGAAAAAGCTTTGATTATGACAAATGATGACTGCTGATTTACATAAAAAAGGTACAAATATACAGTGGTGGCCCAAATGATTAGAACACTAGTATTTTCACCAGCTAAAAAATGGTTTTAAGTCAGTCATTTCTATCTTTTGCTGTAGTGTGTCAGTAGGAAATATCAGTTTACATTTCCAAACACTCATTTTGGCATTAATTGTAATAATCCAGTGAGATTTTTGTGCTCCACACAGAGATCTGATCTGATCATCATCCAGTCTGTCTGGAATGACATGAAGAAACAGAACAAACTGAGACAGACTTAATCCAGAAGAACTGTGGCAACATCTCCAAGATGCTTCAAGAAACCTACCTATCAGTTATATTTGACACACTACAGCAACAGATAGAAATAATTGACTTAAAACTTTAGCTGGTGAAAATACTAGTGTTCTAATAATTTTGGCCACCACTGTATCTAGAAATATTGTACACCAAAATATAGACTGAAGGAGAGAGAGACTAATATCTATATGCAATAAAAGTGGTAAATAAAAAAAAAGGCAAGTAGTTCACCATGGGATGCCAAGTGCCATTTGACCTTGACATAAAAAATTATTGCAGATAGGCTCACAGAACAGTGATTTTAAAAGGTTTAAAAGGAAAACAGTGAAAATACAATAGTGAAAGCAAACAAGAGAGCTAACAAGAGTACTGTAGGTTGTCGCTTTACTCCAAAGAGCGCAATGCACTGAGCAATGCTGACGTACGTCAAGTAAAAAGCCATAACTGTTTAGGTCAGTGGGAGATTTTCAAACGTTATAAGAATGTTGCATGTGCAATACATAAGTTTAGCTCTATCAACCAAGATTCAGAACTTACAGTATGATAAAACAGTAAATTGAAGCAGTAGGCATTATTCCACAATAAATGTTTCAAACAGTAGTATAGGTGTGCATCATTCCAAGTTTAAGGATGTGAAAAGCTAAAACGTCCTAGGTTGTCATCTAGTAATTATGATAATTATGAAATGGCATGCTGCATTGTTGTCGCATGACCTAATTTAGTTTGTCACATGACCTCATCATATTTCATACTTAAAGCAGCATGTGGCTTTTAATCATTATCTTGGAAATAAAAATAGTTATTTTGCAATTTTTTTCCAGTTTTGTGCTATCTTTAGTTCAGTCTTCAGTTGAATTAACCCTTGAGAAAAAAGTATAATTTAACAAAATAAAAGGCTAGAATTGAAAAGAACATACTGTACTGTACAAAATGTAATGTTTTCAGATTCTTAATTGAATGTTATTTGCACATAAATGAAAATGTATTACAGTTTACATTTATATTAAATACAATTGGTTTAGTTCAAGTTCAAGTTGAGTGCTTGATGTTTAAGTAGATTCATAATTACTTTATTGCGTTTTAAATATGATTATACTGACAAATGTACTGGCAAGCATTTATGGTACACTAAAATTGAAAATAATTTCTATTGAAACTTGTATGTCAAGTATTCAAGTATTTAAATACATTTTTCATTAAATGTATTAAGGTTATTAAGTTAGTATATTATATATATATATATATATATATATACAGAGTTCTGACATGAAACTCTAGATGGCGCAGACATCATTATCACATGGCACAGCTGATTGGTTCTCTCCTGTATC